GGGCAGGTCACGAATGAGGCCCAGCAGCAGCGAAAGGAAAAAAGGAATAATGGGGCCTTCAGCAGTGCAGCTCTAAAAAAGCTTTCAGTTTCCCCAGATTCGCAAGAAAAAAAAAATTGTGTTTTGTGGTGTTGGCCGAAATGAGGAGAAGCCTAGCAAAGCTTTAGTCACAGATATTTTATGATTCGCAGCCTTGGTACATTCAACAAGCTCTTTTCCCGAGTGGATGCTACTCGAAGTCGCCTGCTAGAATGCGCTATATCGTTCTTGAAAGTGATGGGATGCGACCACGGATGCAAAGGAGCCGAACGAAAGAAAAGAAAAATGAAAAGAATGGTTCAAAGATCAGGCTAGTCAACGAAGGGTGGAAGGCAGATGCGTGATGCTTTGGTGGTGAGGTTCTGACGAGGTGAGTTGGACTCTAACTAATTGGAGATAATGACGAAAGTCCATAAGACATCTCTTATAGAACCACTGGAACTGATTGAAGATGATTTATAAGGTCGACAAGGAGGCGAAACTCGAAGAGCATGGACGACTAAGATGATTTGAATAATGCGGCCGGGAAGGAAAGAATTTCCAAGGGCGGCCACTTTACTCTCTGCCAGACTTATTATTTGCGACCCGAATCCTAGGTATGGTTGGCATCCGACTCTGTCCAACGCATGATTACATTGGTGGCACTTTCCCCCTGCCTGTACCTACTCCGGCGTTAAGGTTGTAGTAGTTCATCCCCAGGCTAGTGAAACTGTTCGCGGCGTGTGATTTGCGGTCAAGGCGACCTTTGCTTTTTCAATTCTTTTATTTTGACATCGATCAACTCCTCCGTACCTACCTACGGCTTCAATCGTCACTGTTTCCCCTTTTCTCCAACAAGTCAGATGATACTGATCGCTAGACCATTCTGCTGGGACTTGGATTGAAGCATTGACCTTGTGATCCTGCCATCCTGGATCGCCTGCCCGCCTGCATTTTGAATGACATAATAGAAACCTCAGACCCCGTGATGAGAAGCAGGACGCACTTTGCTTGGCACCCTGGACCGGTCGGAACATTGCCATCTCGAACCAAGATCAACCTATCAGGCCTTGTCAAGTTGTCGGTACAGCACTACCAGCCAATGATCTCCGCAACTACTAAGACCAATATACCCATATGTATACACTTACGAGCAGGAATCCCTTAGCTAACAAGAACGCCGAGCGGAGATCCTGTGACTCTCTTTCGAGAAGCTGAATGGTTGGTCTGCCGCCCCGTCATCGTCCACCCGCCGCCGTCCATTATTCCCCTGCATTTCCCCCGGGAAATGCGCCCGTCTTCTCCCCAACGCCCATGAGATTGAGAACTGACTTTCTCTTTCTATTTGAGTGGGACTGGGTCCGATCTTCCAGAAGGCCCCGGCGTCAGCACTTCCACGTCACAGCCTCACAGGAGGCCTGAGGGAGAATACTCCGAAGTCCGAATATGTCGGCACCATGGCTACTGTCATTCCCGTGGGAAACGCCGGGGTCTGAATGGACAATGCGGGGAATGGCCTGCTCATGCGCGGCGCGCCAAGGAGATGATCATCCCAGGTTTTCGGTTTCGCACATCGCGCATCTTACCACTAGGTATACTCTGTACTTGTTGGCCCTACCATACGGGGTAGCTAGACTACAACTAGCATATCTAGCTCCGAATATTGGACCCGGGCCCGAGCACCTCAACGACCACGGACATGTCCCTATTCTCTTTCCGGGACATGCCTGTTAGCTCAGCTAGTTTTAATATCGATGGCAGACACGCGATCATACTTTCCGCTCATTGGCCTAATATGCGTCTTTGTGTGTCATAGCATGTCCTCTCGAAGCAGGACAGCCCGACGCCATCTGTGTCAGAAGTGACTCTATTCATCACGCCATATTGTTCCTTAGCGATACCAAACACACAATACCAGTTTGTCTCAGCCGGATAGTGGCGGATACTGATGCACTCTTGTCTCCTCGCATGTGGCTTGACTCTTCCCCCTCACATAATCTTCCAAGGAATATTCTTGCCTTCCAGCGCCGAGATTGTGGTGATACAGAAAGTAGATGAACATTCCCGCGAGGTTCTCATTAGGTTATGTCCAAGACTGCAGATCCTCGAGTCCCTTTACCAGGTTGCTGCATTGGCGAAAGGTAACTGTCTCCGACTTGGAATCAGATCCACTTCGTTTCTTGGGGCCTGGGCCCCTACCCAATGACCAGGCCGCAGATATTCAGAAAACAAGCTGTATCTTGGCATTCATCTCCTGATTATCTATGTCTGAACCCTAGGTTTGCTCTAACTCCTATGTCCTTGCGTGCCTAGAAGGGGAGCTGTAGGTGGACGAGTGGTCAGGCATCGCAGCCGTCTCCTCCATGCATTCCTAATTATGACATGTCCGTGTGCCAGGCAAGCAAGACTGAAGCGTCAACGGATGAATTTTATGGCGGTAGAACTCGGTCGGCGGCGACAGTTTGACCAAGTACCTAATGCTAAGACACGGTCGAATTCTAGTTTCAGGTATGCCTGAATTGGCGATTTGCGAATTTCCATCTAGGTGTTCGTCGACTCATCCCCCAGCAACCCATGTGCCTCATACACCTTCTTCAAGATCTCCCTAATGACGGGCTCTTTCCGGTCATTATACTCCATCACCGTCTCCCCTGATTTGCGACTCTCATTTGCCGCCTGCCGTTTAATGTTGACATATAACTCCCTATCATCTTCATGCCTCGGGTCTTTCAGCCAGTCTCGAAAGAGCCTGTGCCTTACAACCTCAGGACTATCAGGCCCAAAGACATGGACGTTGGCATAAGGGTCGTCGCATCCAAACAGCCGGTGCTCATGCCACGTGGGCTCGCGGAGGAGGAACTGGAACCCAGCATTTTCAAGTGCGGGGACATACATTTCTTCTGCTGTGGGATCGGCGACAACTACATCGATATCAATGACAGCCTTTGCGGGCAAGTTGGGAACACTGGTGCTTCCAACGTGTTGGATGTAGAGAAGGTTGTCTTGAGATAATGCAGCTTCGATGCGTGCTTTGATGACAGCAAAGGCAGCGGGCCATTTAGGGTCGGGCTCGACGATCTCGATGCGCTTCTGGGGTCGCTTGGAGATTGTTTCGACGGCGGCAGGGTTGTAGGTGGTATGTTGGGTTATGGGGTTTGGTGCCATTTTGGTTTTTCACTTTGCGTAGTAGAGGGTACGGTAAGGTCGATGGATTGTTTCAGCCTAAGCTGGGAAGTCTACTGCTATAAATGCTTTCCATCCTGCTTTAGCGCTTACTTATGACTACGCCAGGCGCCCCGGAATACGAGCTTAACTCATTGTCATTAAGGCTGATATATATTTAGTGCCGGCTATAAAGGATGAGCCATCCATATCACCATGCCTGACTCTGAAAAAAAGCTTATTTAGCATGAATAAGTCTTGGATGGAAGGAAGTCAAGGGCCAATAGTATATGCAGCGAAACTTCCTTACATATACACGCCAAAGTCAGCAGAATATGAACCACTCCGCAGCCAGCAGTGGACGCTCATGAGGAGCTACAATTTGTTTGTAGAACAGTTGTCCAGACTTCTTTTTAAACCTTCAGCACAGTGTCTACGATTGCCGCACTTCGAATCAGATCTTCGTCTCTCATAGTTCGCCCGATGAGCTGGATATGGCACGGGGCACCCTCGACTTCTCCCGGTTTGTCTGTAGAGCAAGGTTAGTCGGTCATTAAAGCCACAATAATAATAGTATGTATTCTTTCAACTTACATTCCGGAGTATACTGAACGTCTCGAATAAACGCCGCATCTTTGGCGCTGTCAGCTTTGTCGAATGGGATGACGCAGGCGGGCAACTATGGCACGGTTAGTTTCAACTACTTAAAGGGAAAAGTTCGCTGACATGGTGTGCTGTGCTGCCTAAAGGCGCCTCACGTACGTTGAAGAGGTTGCAGAACACCGTATATGTGGCCACGCCGTATGTATCGTGTGGAACCGCACAGCTCTGATAAGCAGGCCCAATGATAACGTCCAGCTTGTTGTCCACAAATACACGCCTCATAGCAGTCAGCAGACGGGCTTTCGCAACGTTGAGATCGTACAGCTCCAGAAGTTGAGGCTCAGGGGCGCGCCCTTCGAGGTCGTATGTGGATTGCAGAGACGGGATGAAGGGCTCATTACCCCTAGTAACGTATGCCAATGCAGTCCGGTCGGGATCCATATTGAAGAGTCGGGAGGCAATGTCCTTGGCGGTTGATATGGATGGCATCTGATCGGATATATCGACCAATGTATGTCCGGCGGCTTCAAGTTTGTTGAGTGCGGTCGCAATTGCACGTTTCATTGGGGGGTGTAGCGGGTAGAGGGCATCTTCTCCCAACACGCCGACTCGGAGGAATGGGTTCTGGTTAACACCTACCCGCCAGGGGATATCTAACGCATTGTCATCAATATTTGAAGGACTGGAGCCGAGAACTACTTTCAGCAGTAGCTCGGCGTCCCTGAGCGTGTGGCAGAGCGGGCCAGCAGACGGGACAATGCTCGCCGTCCCGGGCCTTGCAACAGAGGTTATACCGCCATAAGGGACTCGGTTTGCAGAGGGTTTGAATCCAATAACTCCGCAACATAGTGCTGGTACGCGGATCGACCCTGCGATATCTGTTCCGAGTCCGAGCAGCGATCCCCGCATGGCGAGCAGTGCTCCCTCCCCACCGCTGCTGCCACCAGCTGTAAGCGACAAACGATGGGGATTAAGCGTCCGGCCAAAGATGTTATTATGCGTATCGAGCGTCATCATCGTCTGTGGAATGTTGGTCTTAACATAAAGCACTGCCCCAGCCGCGAGTAAGATGTCCACCAAATTACTATTGTTTTGGTTTGCGGGCCGATCCAGGAAAGACACAAATCCCATGGTCGTTGGAACGCCTGCAATGTTATAGCATTCCTTAAGACTGATCGGAAGACCGTGTAGAGGGCCCAATGTGTTTCCCGTGGCCAGAAGATAATCATCCAACTCCCGAGCCCTGCGAAGAGCAGTTTCGAAAAACATCTCCGTGAGACATGAGGTCAGCTGCTGGGCGATCGCTGCACGCTTGCAGAATGCGGTGGTCACCTCAACGGCGGAAAATTCGCGAGACGCAAGCTTCTCGAGCAGGGCAGTTGCATCGAATGATTCAGTAATATCACTCTCCCTGGGCGATAGGATCCCGCAGCGGCGCGGAATATCGAGAACGGACTCGTGACTATCCTGCGAGCACACGTCAGAATAGGATAATGGCAGGCGCCATTCCACGGGGATATTGTCCTGCGTCTCCGATACTTTGGCTTTGGCTTTTTCCTGCCACGTACTTTGTGGCATCTTGGTAAACGGCCGCGAGAAGCAACCAATATAGGAGGGCGATTTCAAATCCTAGTCTCAAGGGAAAGCGCCCAGATTTCCATGCCTAGAGATTATTTTATCACGTATTTGAAGGTAACTTACCGCTGGATTGGATTGAGAAGTCCGTCTGCTTGCTGGCTCCCATTCGACAATCCTTAGGTGCGTTGAACGAATCGGATGTTGCGCGGAGATTGCGGGGAAGGCGAATGGGGCGTTGGATATACAGAATTAATTTTTATCTTTGGAAAGAGCAACACACCAAAGCCAGTCTCGCGGATGTTGGTCGGGAAGGAGCACTCTGACCGGCCCAAGGCAGTAAATCCCATGATCCCGCAATGCGCATTCCACCTTTTCAACAATCCTCGGTAGGCACCTCCTTAAAGACAAGCTGAGAGAGTTCTTTTAGAACCGAGAACCTGTCCAAGGGACCAGCTCCCCCTTCTCCTAGACCGCTTCCTGAATTACAGAAACCTGAATTCGCTCACGCGGTCTAGCCTCTTGCTGACCTGCGAGTGAGACATGCGTTCCTGTAAATGTCCTCCAGTCGCGCAGCGTTATCGGAGCCTCCACCAACTGGGCTCATGGTCGATTCTGAACGCTTGACGCCGGAGGGGAGTGGAGTATAAGGTCGTTGGTTCTCCGGTTCATAATGGGAGACTGGCAGAGCAGCCTATAACAAGTAGCGATAAGGATCTGTAAAATGCCAGGGACTGCTCCAATCGTGTGGAGCAGACTGCCTTTCAGCAGCAGCATCCTCCTAAACCATAGCTTCTTATCAGCATTCTCCACACCCCGCTTTGCAATAGCGGCACTGGAGCGGAAGAGATGAACAGCAGCAAATCCCTCATTTCGAGGTCGCCACAATATGTCGCTGTCTTTCGCATGTCCGAGCGCCAAACCCGCAGAACTCCTCCCTCTACTCCTCCTTTGACCTCAATGGCTCCGACAGCACCTCACCAGCCGGGGAATACTGCGCAGACGTTCCGACCAGACGGGCCGCTTGCAAAGCGGCGGCGTGTTGCTCTGGCGTGCAGCGCATGCCGTGCCCGAAAATCAAAGTGAGCAAATCTACGGGATGAGTGGCATTGTTAGAGGCTTGGACATTGAGCTAAACGGAAATCCCTGTCAGATGCGATGGGCGGCGGCCGTCTTGCTCAACATGCGCCTCTCTTGAAATTGAGTGCTTGTACGAACCATCCGAGTCGACAACGAATGTCCTCGTGCGCAAAGAATATGTCTCAGATCTAGGACAGCGCCTCAAAGACGTCGAGCGGGTGTTGCAGCGACATGACGACCTTCTAACAGGGCACCTATCTGCGTGCTCCCCAAACAGCCAACAAATGTCCACTGGACGGATTGACGATCGCTCGAGCATCAGCACTCTCGGTCGACTGCATGACGGGATTCATCTTCAGCCGCTCAATGTCGACGATCCAACCTCAGACGACACCAACACAGATGGCCTCGCACTCGGGTTTGTAGAGGAAACTACTCCGGTATTTTATGGCGATTCGTCAAGCATTGTATTCACGCGGTGTCTCCTCGAAGCCATCGCAGTGGTTTCAAAGCCCAAGGAGAGCAAGGACACCCCGATAAAGGCAGCATGCGAGAGGAATGGCGCTTCAGACCGCAATCCCGCACCAGTGGCTCAGCCTCAGTCACCGTCAGTCGTGGAGTCGCCTAGGGACATGGCTTCCTCGCCCACGGCACAGCCTTCGGAGGGAGAGATGGATGCGCTATTGTGCACGTACTTTAGTGGCTACGGCTGTCTGTTTGCCTTCCTGCATGAGCCCACATTTAGAGAGACTTACAATGAGTGCAAGGCAAATGGCTTCGTCAAGGCTCGAAGAGGCTGGCTCGGTCTGTTGAATATGACATTTGCAATGGCTGCCCACATCGATCAAGCAGCAGACACCTCTGCAAAGTATCGCTTCAAAAGGTCGTACGTTTTCTTCCAACGGGCTGTATCTCTCTGCAGTGAGATGTGCACGCGCACAATCAGCCTCGACATTGTACAATACCTTCTGCTAGCTGCGCTATATCTCCAGGGGACACAGAGACCCATCCAAGCGTGGACGGTGCATGGGATGCTGGTACGAACAGCGATGGCCCTAGGCCTACATTCTGAGAAATCGAGTCAGGGACTCCACCCGGTGCAACAAGAAGTTCGTCGCCGTACCTGGCTTACAATATACTGCCTGGATAAAATTCAAAGCGTTCAATGCGGACGTCCGCCAGCGATACCGGATGAATACATCGTGGTTAAGATGCCATCACCGTGGCCTACCACCGTGGATACGGAACGAGACCAGGTGAATGACGTAGACAATCAGACCGCATTTATCGATGCTACTGTGCGCTTGCTCCAAGTCGTTGGTCAGTCTATTAGGACACAGTACGGGCAGAACCTAGGGCTGCGGGATCATGAGGTCGACGACAGTACGGCAATACAGGCGGCCAGCGTGGTTCGACAGGAGCTCCGACGATGGGCATGTAGTTTGCCACCATCGCTTGCTATCTGTGGAGCTGGATCGTGTATTTTCTCGGAAGAGGAAAGCAGCGAGTCCATCCGGATGCGCGTCATTCTCACGCTGCGGTATCACTTTGTGAATATCCTAATCCACCGCCCACTACTCTGCGCCACCCTCCGCTATCTGACTATCAATGCGCCGCCGGTGGGAGCTCCATTGCCGTATAGAATGCAGCTTGCAATGGCGGAAGCCCACGAGTGCATTCGTTCTGCGGAGGAGACAATCGAAATAGTCCATACGGTTATGAGCGGATCCAGCCCTTCCTACACCAAGCTGGATGTTTGGTTCTTCACTTTGTTCCACGGTATGTGCCGCTGTACTCGTGTACCTCCAACGCCAGTGTGGTATTTATTCACTTCAATTAGTATTCAACGCTGCTTTGATAATCATCGGGCGTTCCGTTTTGGAACAACATAGGGTCTATGTCAACGACGGTGCCTCATCTGCAAGCTCGGCCCAGTACTACCTCAACCAATCCGTAGAGGCTCTCGATAAGCTCGATATTGAAAACCGCTTGGTACGCAACTGCGCCAAGGTTATTAGGCGGCTTGCCCAGCCCCAGAATGGCAAAGGTTAGTCTAGGGATGGTAAAATGTCGTCACAAAACGGACTGTGACCGACACAGCGAAATGTCAATGTTTTTTATGACGGTCAGAGACGACATACACGTGACTGAAAGTGGATTAAAACTGACCAATCAAAAGGCGCTAAACCTAGCTATTAGCCTTCCATTTTAGGGCTAGTGCGTATATATGCCGCGGGAGCTAGACCCCTTTTGATATGCCAAGCGCCAATCTGACGACCTTGTTTTGCTGTGACCGTCACACTGGTCATTTTGGTGGTCACAGACGGTCAGACATATGTCGACTACCACCCCTAGGTTAGTCGGCCCACGAGTTTATTTGCCACGATGCTCTCCCATAACAGCTGACATGATACCACAGGCGAGGGCCCTACCCCTGCCGAGCAATATCCTCCTGTAAACCACCATATAGTTCAATTTGAAAACGAGGGAGACCTGTCGTCCTTGGGGCTTCCATCCCTTTCCGACCTGGACATCGTCCAGTTCTCGAGCGGCGAGATGATGGGCAACGGGTTTGGCGAAACGTCCTTGAGCTTGGACCAGCTATACTCTGACTATTAGACCAATTCTTTCGTGGCTTTGGTTTTGGTTCTCTTCCTTGAAAGGTGTCAAACAGCTAGAGTATATGATGCGATACATACAAGCCTTGTTGCGAGGATGCAGATTACGGAATCCATACAGAGTTATATCGTCTCTAGCGATGTAGTAGATGTGCGCCAGTACTAGAGGCGCACGAGTTTATTCGGTCAATATAGGCAACAACCCAACAGCGACAACAAAACGCAATTCGTAAGTGCAGGTCCATGAAACACCGAACTATCTTCTCAAATTCTCAGGATTTCTAGCCCTCAAATCTTAGCCCTATGGAAAACAAGGTGTTCCGTCAGCATCAAACTTCCTGGCAGCCCATCGGGGAAAAGTCATCTCAGATAGGACAGGGTCAAGGTCATAACTTACGCATTCAACGCCTCATCCATCTTCCGGAACGCGGTCTGAACATCGCCTGCCAAGTCATGGAACCAAATCCAATCAAACCAAGCATCCTGCAGCTTACCAGCAATCGTCTCCATCTGCCGCCCCGTCTCCGGATGCTGGAATTGTAACATGTGGCCCATTTCGTAAGCGCGCTCTAGCTGCATTTGAGCACGCGGCCGCCGAATCGCGTCGTAAGCTGAAAACCCAGCTCTAATATACGGCCCCAGTGCTGCGCCTTTGTCGGGCGTGCTGTAGATCTTGCCGAGCACGTTCGAGAGAATCAACGAGTCTTCCAAGCCTTGCCCCGCGCCGGCGGCCTGGAAGGGGAGTGATGCGTGGGCGCTGTCGCCGAGGAGGACGACGCGGTCTCGGTAATAGGTTGATGTGTAGCGGTGGTGGAAGAACCCCCACTTCACGGGCATGGCTTTCTTTAGTAGGCGGCGGAAGCGCTCGTCCACTCCCGGTCCTTCGAAGTCTGCCATCATGGCCTCGTGGCTGATTCTCTGTGATACAATGTTCGGAAACTCCCACGGCTTGTCGTCAAGGGCGCAGAGGAGAAAGTTGAATTCCTTCGATGCGTGAGACGTCAGAACAGTCCAGTGTGGAATTGGTGGATAGTGATGGGAACTTACATCACCCTTCGAGATCAGATACGTGACACAGCACCGTTTGTCGCCGACGTACATCTTCGCTACGTTGGTGAGCTCCTCGCCGAAGATCTCGTTGGCTTCAGATGTCGGGATCACGCCTCGGTAGCAGTAGGAGTCGGCGTACACGGGCGCCACCTGGCTCGGATACAACGGTCCCAGGACGTGCTCTCTCACCATACTCTTGATTCCATCGGCGCCGACTAAGACACTGGCTTCGGCGACCTCGCCGTCTGCGAATTTCAACACGACCCGGTCCGGATGCTGTTCAATTTCCTTCAGGCATTTGCTGAAGCGGACATTCTCGATGGGTATGAAGCTGGTCATGATTTGGAGGACTGCGACGCGGTGGGCCTAATAAGAGTTAGAACAGAAACTACCTGCATTACGAAGCAGATGGCGGTCACAAACACCTCTGCGGACATAGTCTGGGTGGCCCCAGGCTGACTTTCCTCGCCACGGCTCGTTGAGACCTGTGAAGGTTAATCAGGACTTTCAAGGAAAGCGACGAGATGAGCTTCCCGTACCAAGACCCTCTTCCAAGAGCATGCCCTCGTAGTAAATATCCTGAGGGTGGCCGGGCATATTGCCCATGCAAACCTTATCAAATTCGGCACGGAATCCCTCCTCGATCATGTCCAGCGCCAGATCGCCATTGGGCCCGAATCCAATGCCCGCTCTATTCGGTTGCTGCTGTCAGAAGAAGAGATACTATGACTACCTCAAACACAACGAAAGGGGAGAAGAGATAAAGGGGATATGCATTTGGGGAAGAAGCCTTACCCGACAACGGAGTACTCATCTGCTGCTTCGTAGATTGTATAGGGGACCCCTTTCTTCTCCAGGCCCATCGCCAGGGCAAGACCTCCAATCCCCGCGCCTGTGCTCAGTCGCGGATTAGTACTGAGACAAGGTAGCTCTGCGTCATGGAGACCTACCGACAATGGCAACTTGCAAGTCTTTGATAGTATCTTTCGCCATGATGCGGTATCAGCAATGGGTCTTCGCGCAGCTGGGAGGAACAAGTTGATGTGAAACCCTAATCTTGCTGTATGATACCCCCTCCCCCCACCTCCCCCACCCCCAAGATATATGCCCGGACACGACGCTCTGGAGAAGAGCGATCCGCGTCCATCAAACCATCAGCGCGATAAGCCCAGGGCCGCGAGGCAACGACAGGATGCGGGTCCCACCAAGCCCGGCGCTTGTGTAGGGCAACACCCTCCCGACGCTTCCCCGACTCCCCGCGCGCGGGGATCACTGCGGAACAACCATGGACGTGTGCCGATGCGGTGCGCGTATAACCAGACGCCAATAGCTGGATATTGACTTGAAGCTCAGATCATACGAGAAGCCTAGTCCTGGCACTTGGCAAAGCACCATGAGCACCGTCGAAGATCCTGTTCTCGCCAAACCCGCCGGGCTCTGCTGCCTCCGGGGCTCTATTCACTCCGGGGAGCCAGCAGGCAAGGTGATTCAGATTGGAGGCGTCGACACGTATGTCGCCACGCCGGATGAAAAAACGGCCAACGGGCACGTCCTCCTGTTCTTCCCTGATGCGTTCGGCCTGCACATTAACAATTTCCTCATGATGGATGCGTTCGCTGCTTCCGGGTACCTGACACTGGGTGTTGATTATTTCGCTGGGGTATGTCTCCCCTGCAGATTTTGAGGCATGCCTGCATATTTGGAGAAAGAGGCTTACGCGGCTGATATTTATTGTGCCATAGGATCCCATTTGGAAACATTCGCAGAATCCCTTGAATGATCCAAACTTTGCCTTTGAGAGTTGGAAGAACAAGCACATGGCCTCCACGGATAGTATTTCGGCAAAATGGGTTAAAGACGTCGAGGCAGCTTACGGCAAAGACGGGCAGGTGAAGTTCGTTGCCGCAGGACATTGGTTCGTCGTATTCTGCTTCTCCCAATCCCAGGCACAGACAGACTGACACCTTGTTCACCAGCTGGGGCGCACGGTTCGTGTGCACCCAACTCTTCAAAGACGGAATCTGCAAAGCGGGAGCGATTGCCCATCCATCGTTCATGAACCAAAGCCATGTGCGCAATATTGAAGGTGAGAGCTATTCCCCAAAACGGATGAACTGGTCAGCATGCTGATTAGTCTTAGCACCCATTCTATTCTCCGTCGCGAATGTAGACAGCCTCTTTATGGCTGAGCAACGCAGTAAAGCAGTTGAAATTATGACAGAGGGAAAGAAAAAGTTCAACATGCAGGTTTTCTCCAACGTTGGGCATGGGTTTGCGGTAAGTTTGGCAGGTTTTTCCCCCCTAAAAACTCATGATGCATGCTAATCAATACATCTAGTCACGGGCATTCTTGTCTGACCCGTATGAGAAGTGGGCGAAGGAGACGTCATTTAAGAGTTTTGTCGACTGGTTCGAGTTTTGGCTTTCGGCTGCGTGAAATGACCTGTCACTTTTGTCGTCCGGTTGGTAAATAATATGTATGAGAAGCTTTTATTTCCACATTTACTGAAACCAAGCCTCTCTAATATATTGCTCACCCGGCAATCAAGCCAACGATACCGCATGGATACCAGGCCTTTCAAATGTCGTATAAATGATGATGACACGATAATAGCAGCGTTTTAAGCGATACACCTCAAAGGTCGCATTAGATGGCATGCAATTTAGTTGATGGGCAAGTATTACAAAGACTGTCTACCGTACACCGACGCGTCTTGGGATTTCACTTCCAGCAACTGTAACAACATCTGATCTCTCTGCGCCGTGACACGACCCCAGTCAACGGACCCCAACCACTTCGACGCTTCCTTATTCAGAACAGAGAGCCGTTCCTCACTCCAGTCGAAACGGTGTTCCAGCATATCCTCCTCCCAACCCCGAATTGCAGGCCCAAGCCGTTCAGTGCGCTGCGCAAACCCATTCGGACCTCCGCCGCCACCGAGCGAATTTGTCACAAATGGACCGGTCAACGCCCATCTCAGACCTGGCCCTGAGGTCACTGCCGTGTCAAGATCCTCGGCCGATACAATTCCTCGACTAACGAGGCTGTATGCTTCGCTGTTAATCGCAGCCTGCAGACGATTGGCGACGAAACCGGGGACCTCGCGGCGAAGCAGAATGGGATTCTTGCCAAGGGACTTGTAGAAGTCCATTGCCGTGTCTATCGTGCTCGTGCCGGTTCCCGGGTGAGGGACAACTTCGACGAGGGGGACGAGATGTGGCGGGTTGAATGGATGGCCAACGAGTATGCGGCTCGGGGCTTTGCCGCACAGCTTGATAAAGCCAGACGCAGGGAGACCGGAAGAAGACGATGAGATCACGACGCTAGGTCTGGTGTATCGATCTAGTTCTTCCATGAGCCTTTGCTTGAATTCGGGGCGCTCCGGTCCATTCTAGAGTGGTATTCAGATCAGTCATGCCACTTTGGTGCGATTGCTTTCAAGCCTGCGGCCAGTCGCTACAAACCTCTTGCACGAAATCGACTTCTCCTAAGGTCGACTCCAGGTTATTAACAAACATGTAGTTCTGTGCCCACGCATCTTCTTGGTCGGGGTTGCATGATTTCAACGCAGTCCATGTACCCTGAAGGTATTTGTTGAAAGCATCCTGCGCGCCTTCAGCAGGATCAAAGATAATAACGTTCAGGCCCCGAGAAAGGAAGAGACACGCCCAACTGGCGCCGATAACGCCGCAGCCAATGACGGCAACCGTTTTGATGTCTTCTGGCATGGTGGATGTTATGATGGGAATGCGCGCCTTCTGGCAGACACGGACACTTGGCTCCGGGATATGCATGGCCACATTTCAACGGAGTCCCCTGCTTTAAGACACAGTTGTGTGCACTGTAAGGCAAACAGAGCGCAGCTTGCACGCAGATCGCACATGTGCTATACGTGGTTAGTGTTAGGGAATCGGGTAACGCTGCTCCCCTTAATAAGTGTCCCGGAGATTCCCCGAGATCCCCGATTGGGCAAGACGGTAACCATCATTACGGTAGGTATTAGCAAGTCCAGTGTATAATCCGAGGGTTACTTGTGATCTTGGGGGTGCAGTGATACAAGTGCTCTTGCTGCCAAACCTAGCAGTTGACTTCTCTTATTCATGAAGGTTTATCTACCGTACATCATGGCCACTGCTCCGTCAACAGAGTCGCGGGACAACTATGGCCCTGGGACGTATGTTGACATTAGTTTCACGCCAGTTCCAGAAGAATGTAGACGACTGTTAAAGGTCTTCGCTGCAAAGACGCCCGGATTTACGCAGGATCAGGCTCTGTTGGACGGAGTGAAATTTGAGGGCGATGATCTCCCCTGCATCCCCGGACCGATCAAAGCACAAGCTATAACTGCAGTGCTCCATGCAATGGTTGGTATCGTGGGTCTTGAAATGCTTCATCTTCGCGGTGAAACTACCAGCAAGACAACGTACGTCAACACGAACCACGCAGGACTGTATCCAGCCACTCCGGGGTTGGTGACAGTCGACGGACAGACAGGACCGGCCGTCATCGCGCTGCCAACCGTGCCTCAATGGGATAAAGACCGCCAATCGGGCTCTCCTTTAGTCTATCGGTCGACAGCCATCTACCCGACCGCTGATGATGGCATGTGGTTCCAGCTCCATGGCTCGCTTGACTCGTGGACCATGCTACAGAGGATCGGCATCACGAGGGACGCTGAAGCAACCGTGCGATCCAATGATGATGCTTACAAGTTGATTGGTGATCGCGTGAAAACTTATCGTGCGCGGGAGTTGGAACAGCTCATGCTTGAGCACGGCCTCTCAGGCTCGATAGTCCTCTCACCCGAGAGCTGGCGACGCACGGAAATGGGCAAGTCCCTCGCGCGCCATCCACTGGTCAACTATGCTAAACGCGGTGATGCTTCCACTCTCCCGCCGACGCCACCACCCAAGCTAGCCGATAAACGCCCTTTAGCTGGAATCAAAGTTGTCGAACTAGCGCGAATCATTGCGGCGACGGCCGCTGGCGCTGCGCTGGCATCAATGGGAGCCGAGGTCATCCGGGTCAACTCGTCCAAACTCAAGGATTACACTCCTGCGCAGCCTTCCTCTCTAATGGCCGGCAAGGCCACAATTGACCTAGATCTGGATGATCCCGCTGACCATGCGCGCCTGACGCAGCTTTTCGAAGAAGCCGATGTCATCATCCAAGGCTACCGCTTAGGCTCTTTCGCACGCCGGGGCTTCGGTTTCGAGGACGCTCAAAAGATGGCAGAGAGGCGTGGCAGAGGCATCGTTTACGTTGACGAGAACTGCTACGGTCCGGACGGCTACTACGCAGAGCGTCCCGGATGGCAGCAAGTGGCCGATGCTGCCGTGGGAAGCTCATACGTGATGGGTCAAGCATTCGGCTGCCCAAGGGGGCAGGGTGTCCTTCCCAGCCTGCCTATCTCCGACATGTCGACGGGCATTCTCACGGCGCTAACTATCATGTGTGGTCTCCGCGACCGCGCAAAGTTCGGTGGCTCCTATCACGGCCATGTCGCACTTGCCGGGTATAATATGGCGACACTTGATCCAGATGTTGGACTATACCAACATGAGGTCGTACAGCGGATTCAGACTAAGTATTGCTTCATCCCATGGTCCAGCGATGTACATGTGGCGCCGCTGTACTACAACATCATCAAGGCCTGGGATGACAACAGCGACCTAGTCAAGGACGACGACTACTACGTGCACTTTTCGAACTCGGTGTTTGGCGCCGACTTGCGCGTCCTTGCACCTTTGATTAAGTATTCTAAAGAGGAGACGACGCCCAGGTGGACGAGTCCGCCAGTTCCCTTCTGCCACCACGAATTTCGATCATTTTCCCACTCGGTCTAGACAGCGCTTGTAGGAAGATCCTATGAATGTCAGTGCCAGCATGGCTCTATTTGCCCAATACAGGGTAGCTTCTTGCAATCAGAGGACATTTCTTCTTTTCTTGACTAGAAATTCTATGGATATGCATCCAGTCGTTCGTATTTTCTGTAGCTCAACAGATGTGCACTTCTTGAAGAATTCAACCTGCATCAATCGCCCTATTCCAAGAGCCCCTCCTGACGATTGTGTAATATTGTTCCCATCCATCATCTGGACAAACACCGGTTCATCGCCATGGCCTAAGATGATGAGTCACCATCACTCTCAAGCTCCAAAGTATCCCTACTCTTTGTAGCGAAATGATGCTATCGCCTCAAACCAAAGCACTTAGGCGACGGCCACACCGGTTCTGATTGGGCGGGGAAAGCGCGTATGTGCGGAATATACCTGGAGCATGGTGGGCGTCTGCCCTGGCTACCCTTGCCCCAAACCGCCCTTCATAGCCATCTGCCCAGTTAGGAAATGGTTGCTAAACGTACGGGTACAGGTATATATGATGGAGAATCCATGCTTGCGCCGCTTGCCTCTTTCCCCACGTTTTCTTTGCCATACCTACCACAACCATCATCATTGTTAACAATGTATGAGGCCCTTTGTATACCGTACTAACTAGTAAAGCTATTAATTAAATATTATCTAAGAAAATAAAAAAAAAGCAAGTTGTTTATTAAAAGCTAGAGCTACCTAGGGGTTTATATAAATAATTTAAGCCTTTAAAAACTTATTAGTGGCCTAATTTTTTTACTAAAATAATAAGGTATTAAGCGCCTTACTTTTTTATACTAATACGGCATGTAAAGGTGTTAATAAATAAAAACTTTATTAAAATAAAAAATTTTTATTTTTAGCTAACACACCCCTTTAACGCCTACTAAATACTAAAAATAAGGCTAGAGATATTTACTAAACTAAGTATTTTAATAAATTTATAGTATTATTATTTAGTAAATAGCTTAATAAGGCTATTTATAATTATTTAATTTATAAAAGTTTATTTAATTTTAAGATTTTTATACTAAACTTTTTATTAAAGCYATAAGTTATAAATATTAATATATTAAAGTTTTAATTAAAGCTAGATATTAAAGCTAATAAAAATATTAATAATTTATTTATTATTATATTAAACCAAGAAATAGTATTAAAAATTAAATTATATTAAATTAAAAACCTAGTRCTATTAGTAAGTTATTTTAAAGGCCTTAAATAAAGTAAGTAATTTTATTTTAATTATTAAAGTTATAATTAAGTACTACTTTATAACTTTTTATTTAATTAAATTATTATATAATTTATAAATATAGCCTATATTAAAAAAGTAATTAAATTAATTAATAAAGGTTATATTAAAGTAGGCCTTATAAAAATTATATACCTTTAAAATAAGCTTATTTTTAAAGCTATTTAAACTAAAGTATTTAAGGGCTATAAAGCATGTATTATAAAAATAAAAAATAAGTTAATTTATTATATATTAATAATAATTCACTAGATTAACCAGGTATTTTAATAATTAATTAATAATATAAAAAATATTTAAATAAGTAAGCATGCTTGTATATTTAACTAAGTTAACTTTAAACCTTATTTTTTTAATTTATTAAGATATAGTAATACTAGAGTTTAAATAAAGCTTATTAAAAAAAAATATTTTTAAAAATTAAATTATTATATTTAAGTAAAATTAATTTATAATTACTTTAATATAAAAGTTTTAATATAACCACACCTTATGCTTTTTTTTATTTTAAATAATTTAAACTTTTAAAAATTATTTTACTTTATTAAAATACTAAAGCTTGTACTTTATTACTAGTTTTTTTTTAAAAGTAGTTATAATAACTTAGCCTTTTTTAATAAAAAGGTTTATAATAATAATATTATTTATATAAATAAAAAAAAATTATAAACTTACTAATATAAAAGCACTTTTTTTTAAAAATTATAATAAAGCTAAATTTTTATAATATTATAGCTAAATTAAGTTATTAAAAATAAAAAAACTTTTAAAATTTATAAATAATCTTAAGGGCCTTTAGTAACTTATCCTACTATTTATAATTATTTAAAAAATAAAAATATACTACTTTTTTAAAAGTAATATTAAAAAATATATTAATAGTATTTTTTTAATTAAAATTAAGGTTAAAAATAACTATAAATATTATAAAAGCTTTAAAAGCCCTTGCTAAAATAGTTATTACTTAATTTTTTTAAAAAAAATTTAGTTTTAAATCTCTATATATATAAATTTAGGCTTTAGCTTTAATAAAGTAGCTATTAATATTAAGTTTATAAATAAAAATTTATAATAAAGGGATTAACTTATTTATTTTTATTTTTTATTTATTTACCACTTTTTATATTTTTATTTTATAAAAAGCTTTTAATTTAAGATTTATAGCCTCCAGGAACTTATTATAAAATAAATAATTTTTAAAATTATTTTAATATTTAAAAAAAAGGTAAATTATTTTAATAAAGCTATTTTTTTACAGGGTTTTAATAAAAAGTAAAAAAAATAAATTAAATATAGTTAAGGTTATTTAAATTATTTAAAAAAGTATTATTTAAATTTAAATTATATATATAATTATTAGTATTATATTATTTATGCCTGCGCCTAGATATTTTAAAAAAAAAGCTAAAATTATTAAAGTTTTACTTTTTAAGCGCGCTAAGCTTAAAGGCTAA